TACCAAACTACACCCTCCATTATGTACCAAACTACACCCTCCATTATGTACCAAACTACACCCTCCATTATCTACCAAAGTACACCCTCCATTATGTACCAAACTACACCCTCTATTATGTACCAAATTACACCCTCTATTATGTACCAAAGTACAATCTATATTATGTACCAAAGTACAACCTCTATTATGTACCAAACTACACCCTCCATTATGTACCAAAGTACACCCTTCATTATGTACCAAAGTACACCCTCCATTATGTACCAAACTACACCATCTACTATGTACTGTATATCTGTGGCCTAGCTTTACTTATCAGTGTAATTATGACAGTATACGTACATATCTGTATAGTCTAGGCCTTACTTCTATAACAATACATACCTGTATATCCTGGGCTTTTGAAGGGCACATGATGTTTCTGCCTGTGAAATATAATAGAAAAATTAAAACACTCACTATTTTGTATATACAATGTACATGTATATATATAGATATACTTCAGCTTGTTGTATACTGATATTGTTGGAAATATTAGCATTAATTAAATATATAGCTGATCATATGGTATTTGTCAAAATTAAAGGCAAATTAACAAAACATATTAATTTTGTAAAATTTATAAAGTAATTAAAAACCTACTAAATTTGTATTATATATGAAAGCATATATATATTCAGGTCTGAATCACAATAAGGTAGACTTTAGGCATACTTGTATTAATTAGCATTTTTAAACAAGCTAAACTATTATCATGTTTTATACTGTAATATCTTAAATACCATGTTCACATACAGGAATCGAAGAGTCCTTGACTCAATGTGTTATCAATTTTTTAATCACTTTTCCTAGTAATGTTATCATTATTACACATATTGCAAGTTTATAACTTATATTAAAGTATATGGTATATCTAGTCAGTAGCGAAGGTACTGTAAATCAAAAGATACGTATACACACATATATATATATATGAATGTTTTTTTTACACAAACAGATGGTATGTGAAACAAGTCGAAACATAAGCAGTGTTCATTGCAATCAAAGTCTACATTTTGTATATATCACACTTACCTAATAGATTTGTTATGCAAACCTATTTTCTTATGTGTGAAAATGTCGTAGATCTTTAGATCCATCCCATTCTGTATAAGCATGTAGTAAGTCATGTAGAATCTGATTTCAGGAATACCTTATAAACTGTTTGTAAATTACAGGGCAATAAATAAGACCATGTACATTGCACAGACACAGAATTGCGTCTATAGTCAAAGACTGTGGCAGAAAGAAATCAATGGTACTAATTGAAGATTACACAGATAATTGATCTGTGTATCTCTCGGCCTACCTGTAATTTGGTACAGGTGAGAAAACCTCTTACAGTACATGTACAGGTATAATGGCGGATCCAGAGACCTATCTCGGGGGGGGGGGGGGGGGGGTCAAATTTTCCAGGGGTAGTTGGGGGGTTTCCATGTGGGGAAAATTTGAGGAAAATTGTGAAATACAGGATTTTTAAAGAAAATTTGCAAAGTGAGGGTGGGAGGGTTTCTTGAAGCCCAAAAAAAACCTCTGGATCTGCCACTGCAGGTCCCTTTTTTATCTATTTATAATTGTGTATCTATTTCATTATGTTCCTTTGTTACACTAGGTTCTGTGTATGTTATATGTGTAGGAAAATAAGGCCTTTGATTGGTTAATGTTGTTTTCAGTGTATAGTTACCATTTTAATACTTTTGTCGAAAGTCACAAGCAGGCAAAAGTTATTACTGACATCAGATACATAAAATATGTAGGATACCTATAAACTAATCTGATATGGAGAGGATCGTAACATTAACACTGACAGTAGTCACATACTGTACACATGTAGAATAGTATACACTGTATCTATACATCAATAACTTCAGGTTATCAAATTGAAGGCCTTTGTATATATATGCACCACTTGCAGATATGAATTACCTGTGAGTGAACTATTCTGGAAAGTATTATGGAATCCTGCATACATGTACTTGTTGTCTCAGAGAAACACTCTGACTAAAGATTTAAGACGTACCTGACACAGCAGGGTAATTATATTATGGTAAAATTGACTGGCTTTGACGTAAGACCAGCTGCCTAGCCAATCAATAATCTTCAAAATACATGTACCAGTGTCTAAAAGTCTTTTGAAGTTGTGATTGGTTAGTTTTGGAAAGCAAACCTTGGGAATTCAGTTCTGCCATAACAAGAAAGTTACAGGATGCAGAAGAGATATGTTTTATTGCTATTTCCCCCGCAATATCATTCAGATTGATACATATGTTACACATGCATTAGTAGATAATATTATCTACTAATTTATATGTGCTATATAGGTGTATTAAGTACCTGTTGCGAATGAGAAAAACATGTGCAAGCTAGGTTGTTGATTATGCCAGATTACCAACCATAAGGATGTAGATAAATTTGGAATTCGGTAAGTGTTTACTGGATTACATACAGAAGGAGGAAAAATGTTCAAAAAGCAATACATGTTTCTTTGAATTACTTATATGTCCTATAAAAGTGTCTTTGATTTATTGCAACTCATTACACAAGCTTGTCTGAAATAACCAACTATCTCCTGAAACAAAATTTTATGGAGCATTACCATAGCTTATACTTACTCTCTTACACTATTTCCTTACTTAGAGTAACAAATGTAGGTAAAGCTGGCACACATTTTCGATTTATGCCTTTCATACTGTAGTATATGTATATATCATGAGAGTAATACTCTAGCACAGTGCAAAAATGTAGCAATTCATTATTAAGTTAAGTTAATTCACACTATAATAGATCTGTAGAGTCGACTGATACAGTTAGAAACACAAGAAAGCATCAAACGATCACACATTTGTAGAGATGCACTTACCCATCACTTGAAACTACCTCTCTATCAAATCTCCTGTGGGTATAGGAAAATAACTTTATAATTTCTATGGACTGAAAAAGTGTAAAAGTGGTGACAGGCTGACAGCCCAAATCATGTGAAAACCATGCAATGCAGTCTATGCAAAATAATGTAACCAAAGATCTAGACCTGCAGATGTCTTAAAGCAATCTACAGGCTTAAATGTATGTAGATAAAGTTTTACAATCGGTTGAAATAACATTAAAGAAACAATGTAAGATTGTTCTCCAGGTGTTCTACAATCGTGCAACCACAAGTACTAGCCTCAACTGTCAATACACCCATACTGATTATACATGTATTATATATGGGTGTACATGTGTTGACAGACATCTAGGCTAGTACGTATTATACTGTATATACGTACCTGTGCTATACAACATATGTATATTGAATTGAATAAAAACTAAGTGAGCTGAAAGTCTTTAAAAGTCAACAAAAAATATAAAACAAAGCAAACTTAAATTTGAAAATCAGTTTTTGTTTTTAGTTTTGTAATATAAAAAAAATGTTGTGGTTAAAAAAAAAAGGGTTGAGGCATATCTAGTCATGTCTACCCAAGTATATATGTATACGTATTGTTCATAGGAATGTTTTGTCAATTTTCATAACTTATGAAATTATATTTTTTTCAATTGATATAATTAAACATAAAGATCATAAAAGATGATATGAGTTGAAAATGACAACTTGTAATTGTAATTTTCCAATTAAACTGTCAGTTACTAGCACGTACATATACTGTACATTCACATGACCAAATTCTAGAGTTTGGAGGTTTCTGATTGTTCATGGAAGGTCCTACAGACTTGAATGCTGGGCTGGCGATGAATTTTTCCTCTCCTTTTTTAGAGGCATGTGTGTGACCAGACCTTGTTTTAAGTACTGGATGTGTCCTTGGCAAGGGGATACACAAATCTAACCTGGGTTGTAAATAGTGCTGTCTAAGAAAAAGGAGGGAGGAGCAGCGAAATTGGACTGGGTTAATTAATTGCCTGTGACATTAATTACCTCAATTGGTTTGAGCGGCTGTCTAAAATCATGATTTCCCAGGTTCTAATACCAGCCTTGTTGTGCATTTTTTTTCCTCTCCTGTTACATTTCTGTACCAGATTATGTTTATAACTGTTGAAAGGAATTCAAATCATAATACATTGGATGGGGAGGGATGAGCTACATTGAAAAAATACTTCATCTTTTGCATTGCTTTTATTGACATTAGAAATATACTCACCCAAGAAGTAGTGGATTTTTGTGAGATTTCCTCAGACTGGACAACGGGGAACTCATGGCGATGAAAATTTGGACACCAGAGAAAATATGATCCTCTGAAATTGCTTGCAGTAAATGATAAGATCCTCTTCTACATCACTGAGTCTAGAATACCCGTTCTAGGTAGATTTGCCTGAGTCTACATTAATGTCATTCGTTTATTGATTATATTAAATAACATGCATCATGTCGATCGTGTCACCGCGTTGTGTTAACATCTGCTGTTTGCACTGTATGAAATTAAAATAGTTTATAACCATTCAAAATAAAATCATATCCCGTGAGAATATAAACAATAACTAATGAATTATCTCTACGTACCCCACGTTAATGAGATATGATTATCGATGCCTTTTACAATGACCGATTAAATAAGTTGATGCTTTGTTTCTGTTTTGTTTACATCCAAGGACGCCATGTTGAATTTTTTCATACCGGATGTGTAATTTCAGCTATATAAATTGAACCAAGAACCAAAGTTCCGGAATCAGTCATGGCGTCAATTTAATAACTTATATATTATTACTCGTATTTTCTCACGAAAAAAGGAAGGCTCGTTGTTAAATATTTCAATTTTGATAAATGTAAACACGGAATAAGATTATCTCATTCCGTGGTGTACACTTTATTTCAATTCTTTGCGTTTACAATAAATATTATAAAATGTAAATGTAAACTAAACTATATTATATAAATATGTATACTAATATACAATGCAATTCATAGTCTTAATTGTTGAAATAGGATTTGGAAACAAATTTTCATGAATAACGTTACCTACATCTCCAGTTGAAGAAAGACATGTTTGAAATTGAGTTTCGGACCACATGACTTAGGCTATAATATTTTAAGACTTTTTATTTTTGCGTTATTACGTGTTTATTTCGGCGTTTTTATTACGTATTTATTTCATGTAAGCACGGAGTTAGATTATCTACGGAGATTTAACGTAAGTTAGGGTTACGATAAAATCGTAACTTAAGTTGCTTAGTAAAACTCACCCCAGTACTATATGCAAGATCTATAGAATGAGAGATATGATCCCAAGTAGAAACGGGTGAGTTCGGGGGTCTATAAAATGTACCCTACAAAACTGATTTGTTTGCTATGAAAAGGTCTATCCATACATATTCAATAGTGGGTATTTCTAAATCTGCTCTCCTTTTAACCGATATAGTATCCTTAACATACACAGCTATGCCTCCACCTGACTTATCCTGCCTACAGTAGCAAAAAAAGGTGCAAAGAAGCCCGAAAAGTTCAAATCATCATTTAAATCATCCGAACATAACCAAGTTTCAGTAAAAGACAATATGCTATGACAATGAAACTCAGTAATTAAGATATCTACCTTTGGTTTCAAGCTTTGAACATTTAGATGCATAAAAGAGTACTTCGATTTGTCAAAAAATGAACTTAGGTCATTGGATGTAAATGAAGAAATAACAGTCGGAAGATGAGAGCGGGCCAGGATTTTTTCGATATCACCTGAGAGATATAAGGATAGTAAAATAATTATAAGTACTGTCAAAATTATTGCACTTAAAACTGCAAACGAATTAACATTTGCACACGTCACGTGTGCTTCTGGATTGGACTCCATGTCTGGGTATAAACTATACATCTGTAAGAGCACAATTATTGGTAACGAGTTAAGACAAGTCATCATGAATAAATTGATGCATAGAACATCTAAAATAGAAAGATAACGGGACTTTTTGCTATTGATACGCTGATTAAACCTAGACTGAGCGACATGTCAAGTCACTCCTGACCGACGTCTAATCGGTGGAATTCCTCGCGCACGGATAGTGGTCATTACCATAGCTAAGATTGCAGCAGTACACAGCATATAATATACATGGTATATGACAAAAGATTGAAGTGTTAAGTTGTTTGCATAATACACACAGGTTCGTAAAGCAAATATTCAGAGAACATAAGTGAAAAAGAGGATAGGAATCGATGACAGAAGTTAAGTTAGAATTGATTGATTGATTGATGGGGCTTTACGTCCTTGTTCCGGTTATAACCGGGCCAAGGGAAAAAATGGGGGTTGGGGGTTATGGCTGCATTCCGCCTTTTGAGTGTTGCCAAAAAGTTCTAAACTGGTGGATATGGGTACCTAACGTTCTAGTTTCTATAATTAAGGGATTGCAATTTGGACTGTCACTTAAAGCCCTACACTAGTCTAAATATATAACCTATACTCCGTGACTCTCCTTACACCGGACCCCCATTTAACGTCCCTTCCGAAGGACAAGAAGGTTAGAGGACGGCGTTATCTTTAGGAGGATTTATAAACACCAATTGTATAACCCCCGTCCTGCGGGTACTTATACAAGTCATGATGTGTACGAAAAGTAAGAAGGGGGAATTGTAGTCCGAATTATTCTGACGTTTTATCGACTTTTTTGCATCGGTCTGTCGTCGATTAAAGACGTTAATCGACGACAGACCGATATAAAAAAAAAAGTCGATAAAACGTCAGAATAATTCGGACTAGGGGAATTGGTAAAGGATGTTGATACTGTTGAGTATAGGGTGCAATATAGATCTGCTGACGTTGCATTAGTTTGAAGGGTAAAGTTAGGTGATTTATGTGGTTTGATATGCAAGCACTGTCTTTCAGGAGGCTGTGGCTACTGTGTATGATCACCTACAAACCTTTCTTACTAGATACGTGTTGCACATTTGACATTGATATAGTGAGTGGTAAGAAATGTAGAATGAGAGTAAGTGCCATGATTGAAGTTGGCACGGATAGACCCCACCCATTGACCAAGATGTGTTATTGTGTGTATGTCTTGTATGTTGGTAAAGTGCTGTTGTTGATGTTTGTTTTAAGTTACTTATACAGTGTTGTTTAATGGAGTCCTATTAAATCTAATTTTAGTTTTATAAACACAACACCACAGACCACTCACTTATACAAGTGCACCTGACGAGGTGGGAAGCTGCAAATGTTGTGTTTGAAGTTTTGTTTAAATTTATTTAATGTGATATGGGAGTGGGGCACAGAGGAGGAGACTCCAGACCTCCTGGAGCTTTGTTTGTCCTGTCCTATATAAGCGGGCTAGCTACAAGGGTGTGGACAATGTCCAAAGGTACGCAATGCAGTCCCCATAATTGCACTCTTGTAGTCTATCCCTAATAATTAGGTTTAAATGGTATGCCTAAGGGTTGGATTATTTTTTATAAAACATCAGAGCATTTAACGCACAAGGCGGGCTGCAGATGAAAACCTATCTATAAAAAGCACTAGGTAAAATGTTTATGTAGATGGGGTTTGGGCACAGAGGAGGAGACCCCAGACCTCCTGGAGTCTCAGTATATACCAATGTATGGGCAGACGAGTAGCAGTCCACCCTGGTATAGCCTCCCTGAGTACCTTGGGACTCACAAGCTTTTAGGTACTTAACGGGGTTTGTTTGTATTTTTTTATTAATTTAATAGGTATTTTATTCATTTTAACAACACAGATCATTCACTTTTGCAAGTGCACCTGACGAGGTGAGAAGCTATGGTTGTTTGATTTGAGGATTTAATCTAATTCAATTATGTCTTAGTTTACAAATTGGTTTAAATGTCCGAGAGTATTCGAGTCAAAAAAGTGTGTTGTAGATGGAGACCTATCAAATCCGTAATTTAATTTTATAAACATAACATCACAGTTAAGTAGCGGATGACAAACATGTTAGAACTTGGGAAGGTAAAAAGATGTAGAATTTGGTCATTAGTGCACACATGAGATTTCCGTGCGACAATTTTAAATCGGCACGAGATAAAATATCAATTTGACACGTGTAGTACAAATATAAGTAGCGTCTGTGACATTGTGGTTTCGATTTTTGAAAGATAAACATAAAATATAGGCATGCCAATTTCTAAGCATATTGGATTTTATGTCTTAACATTCAAGACAGCGTTACATATGTGCAAGGAATAATGCGCTTGCAATATATATACATGATACAGAGAATAAAATGGATAGTTCGTTTGAAAAATTGAACCAAAGCCGTATACACTGGTGAGGTCGAAAGGTAATTATATGGTTTTACAGTTAATTCGACGCCCAGAGACACTTAGGGGAGATAATTCTTTATACTAATTATATAACTTGCATTATTATATTGCAGCTCTGACTACCTTGGCTAATAGAAAATACTTTCATCTTTCACAATGTCTCTGAATCACCAATCCAACACCAGAATCTTTCTGTAGGTTAATTACGTTTGGGAACGGTGAAAATTGTGCTTGATTCTTTTTTATTTTCACGAAGTTACCGCTTCAAAGCAGAGACTTAAATGTATAAAACCACGGTAGTGAAACGTCTCATTTTAAAGCTAATTTTGCGTCTTTAACTCTTGAAAAGTTACGCATTTACCGCCCTATATATTGATATTGTATTGAGATAATAAAGCAGAAACAATATTCTATCACTTACGGTTCGAATTCAACTCATACTATTACCGGTCCGTGCATGTTCGGTCAGGAAAAGAAAGGGGGCTAATTATAATTACTAAGAGTGAGACATGTATGTGCTTTCCGTATGGGAAAACGGTAACATCTGTTTGTGAGTTTTAATTGATTTTATCAAAAAGTAGGAAGATATCCTTATGAAAACAGTGTAAACGTTTTTATATAAATTGAGGACATTTTTATTTCAATATTGTGTAATTATAATTGTCCTCCAAGCATTGTGTTAGGTGCCCAATCTTTCAGTTAAAATAACATTTAATTCTTATTCTCCTTACTAGAAATTAAAGCCATGAAGTAATAATCTACTGTAGTTATGAAGAATGTAACATCGTTGAAAAAAATCTTGTCCTGATAGGTTCAGACATTAATAATACCACGGAGATACCAATAATATGACGTTATTTTGGGATTTTATCGATATCCCTTCGGGGGCCTCTCAATTTTTCGCCCTGTCAGCTAAGCCGACATGACGTCATAATGTATTTATAGAAATTATCAACCACTGTAGAATGATGCAGATTTATTTTAAATCTTTACAGCATATGTAGCAGACACGTTTTGAAAAGTAGGTATTTTGTTTGACGGATAAGTATGGTTGATAATTGACTTACGACGTGTTATTCTGCAAGGGATAACTAATAATTACTGTAGATTTGATTGGCGGATTGTGAATTGTAAACGTCAAGAGAGATTTGGTGGGGATTCCCCAAAACAACACTGATGGTATAGGCTAGTTTACTGTGGATATCTTTAGTCTAGGTACAATGCCTTTTCTTCAAGCCAGCTTTTTGAAGTAGGTAGTGTTTATTTTGAATATTGTTCCAAATGGTACTGTATTTGACAAATGTTTGACCTGTCATAATACTGCAGTAGGAAAATATACAATGCATAAAGTGTCAAGTGACAGGAAGTTGTAACTAACAGACTAAATAGGATCTACATTTGTACCTTCCTGGTACGCCGTATAAACATCGTTATAAGAACTTCCAGACTACTTATATTGTCAAATACAACATAATATAGCCTGATGTAAGTAAAGAAAAGATATATACTGTATATATATGCAAATGTATCTCGGTTTTTTTGGCTCGTAGTTTGGCCATTATTATTTGGCAGGTTTTAATTGCACACTAATTATAATCTCTTTCCTGTTACAAATGGCGCTTGTGGCCCTCCCTGTCCTCTCTGTGGGGACGGGGAGTTCATGTACGTTAGAACCTGGGTTGTGGTGTTCGAGGGCAAACACATTTAAAAGGAGGGAGTAAAGTACTAGTATGGCAGCTAAGGTTTTAATTGTACATGCATATATATAGGATTAGGTCGCCTTCTAGCTTCGAGCTAGAGGGAATATCCCTTTAGCTCAGTGGTAGAGTGTCCGACTAGCTAGGAACCTGCATGGAGATCGAGGGTTTGATTCCCAGTGGAAGCACACTAATCTCTTTCCTGTTACAATTATATACAATGCCACTAACACTAACTGACTAAGCTTATTACATACCTGAAATTTTCAATTTAGTCGCAAAGAAAATAACTTTGTGTATTGTTTTTACCTCCAGAACAAGTATTTAACAGAAGATCAACATAATGGATTTCGGCTCAGATTATGTGTATGCCTATGACACCTTGGAGTATGAAGTCATATCTGATGAAGAGTATGAAGCTGGTATGGATGTCAGGTATGGTAACAGGATAAATATACAGTGTATTGGGCAAATTTAATACCCTCGCTTTATGCCTTGTATATTTTATGAGCAGAACAGAATACAGATAATAAGGGTAAATGAAATTGATATCAATAATTATTATGCCATACTTTATCTGATCCAGTACATACTTATCTAAGTCTGTGGATCCAGGCATCAACAGTGATATCTTCACACACACACTATATCTCTATGTAACAATTTAAATCTCTTTCATATCCAGTGGTGTTGGACAAGCCGATATTCCGCTGAATTGCTGAGTGTTTTGTCCCTTATTTAGAAATCCTGAAGAAGGGATAGTCCCTATATTACACTATGAACATGAACAAGTGTTTTCCTTTGGTTGTAACATAGGAATTTCCTAACTAGAAAAAAATGTTCATGTACTGCCCAGATGAAATGTGAAAGTCCTTACAAGTCAGGTGTAGACTAATAGAAAGCACTCAATATGGATGAAAGTCCTTACAAGTCAGGTGTAGACTAATAGAAAGCACTCAATGTGGATGAAAGGTCAAAAGATTCTAAAGCAGAGACATAGCTGTCAATTTAGACCTGGCCCTCATTTAAGGAGGGACACTCCCTCATTTTGACCAAAATTTACCAATCTCCCACAAAATCCCTCATTCAAGTCCAAACTCACACAAACTCAAAATCTACATTCTGTGCTACTTAAGTTGCTGCGAGGTGTATCTAGTGTAATGATCATAATCAGTGTGTCTGAATCAGATGAGTGTTTTTTGAAGTTATTTTGATACAAAAAAGGAAAGATAAATTGAGCAAATCATGTTTCACACACTTTCTCCCTCTCTTGAAATATGCAATGAGGGAGATCTGCCTCATTGCAGGTTTCAGTGGTTGACACATTTGCAGAGATGCAATTAAAGTTCTGCATTCTGGTGCGTTTTACTGAAATTTCAACAAAAACTTTGATGGGAAACAATTCAATTTCAAGCAGTCTGCCGAACCCACCCACTCTAGAACAACAGTAGGGCTATAATTAGTAGTTAATGTACATGTGCTATATATATACACATTATATTATACATATATTGCACAATGTATTTAATAGCTTAACACTGTTCTCTGTGATTTTGTAAAAGTGTTTTTATAATCTTCATGCAATTTCTTATGATAATTTTTTTTTTTTTTTTTTTTTTATTTAAAGTGATTCTGACTCCGACTCAGAAGATGAAATAGTTAGTGGTAAGTATATACTGACTTAACCCTGCAGTCAAGAAATATTTAAATCCAAATTTGAATATTGTTTAATTCTTCAGTTCCATATATTATATTGAAATGTGTTTTAATTTATAACATATATTGTACATTTATATAATAAAAATTATGTAGTATTGTATATAATTGGAACATTTCACCAAATTTTGATTTATTTTCATGAGAAAGAGTTATTTTATTTTCATGAGAAAGAGTATTTTTTATAAACATTTTGATATTTGAACTTCAAAATTTTACAATTCTGTAGATTAAAAACTTGAATGTGAAGTACTATAAGTAGGTATTTTGAACAGTTGTGATTTTCACAGAGCTCTGGTATTAAAAAAAAAAAGAAATAAAAAAGATCAACAATGACCTCTTGTAGGTTCAAATTCTTTATTTGCTGAAGTTTTACAACTTAGGTGTCTCCACCTTTTTTATTCTTTGATACATATTTATATAATTTATAAACTTAAAAAGTCATATACTGGTATGATGTCATGTAGTGTTTTCACAAAAATTAAAAAAAAATAAAATGGTTTTGGCAATGTTGAATTTGTGGGCCCTTTGAGATTGTTTCACTAATTGATGCTGAAAATGTTCTCTGCTGTGTTGGAATGTTAAACAGTATTTATACATCTATAGTGTATGTATTTGTGACTTTTGCTCAGTACTGCATCAAAAGAAACTTATATCATTGTTTCTGATTTTTTTTCCAGACAGTTTGATTGAGCTCCCATCAGCATTAGATTTAACTTTAAGTTCTACTGTGCCCCCGCCCCCTCCTGCCTTACCAGGTGCGGCACGCAAGGAAAAGAGGAAATCTGGAGGCAAAGCCAAATGCAAAAAGAGGGGACATTGGAGAAGCGCACCTCTAGGAGGTTAGGTTAATCAGGTTACAGAATATGAAATATGTGAATGGAAGGTTTTTTTAAAGTCACAAAGTTCTCTTAGTTTAGCATGTCCTGCAATAACTCATGTACCGGAACTTGAAAAAAAAATTGTTGGTGCGCAAAATATTTTAGTAGAACCTTTTTTGGGGATTTTCAGCCTCAAAAAGTACCTGCGCAAATTACATAGGTGCGCAAATTACATGCGATTTTACGGTATATGAAATCCAGATTAATATGAAATATCAATGATAATTGTACTGTCTGTGATATATTGATATTCATAACAGTTTACTACATACAATAATCCCCCCAAAAAATTATGAAACTTTAACCTAAACAAATCAAACCCTCAGGGCTTGAGATTTCTCTATCCTCTACTGTAACTGGTGATAACCTTTTAGTCAGGTACTGAGGAGGAGGAAGCAAAATGGCTTTTATTAAAGTAACGGTTTTGATAAAGTCCGCATAGTTCTGCACTATTACAAAGTGTGTCAGATATGCATGGGGCACTGTTTCCCTTAACCAGGTACACAGTTGTTTGTGTTCGGGCACTTTATTACACGTACCATGGTTTGTCACTGTCAGAGTTAGGCAAGTGCTGTTATTAAACACTAATTGACCTTAGATAATTTAATACATTGGGTAAATCAATATGAATCTGGATCAAATTACAATTGGAAGTTAACAAACTACTTTTTTTTATATTTTAAGATGCTGATGCAACAAATTTTGACACTGTACCTAGTGGGCGGAGAGAACGAAGAGCAGACACCAACATTGTGTCCATCAATTTTCAGACTCTTGTAACCCCAAGTAACATGCACACTGGTGATGCTGTGTACTGTGACAGCTGTCAGGCCATTCTCTCCCATCTCTGCAAGCTTGAGGACAGTGGGGACGCCAAGGTAAAAACACTGCATCAGAGCAACTTAAATGTGAAAACTTATTTAAATCAAAATAGGTCATTGCTCTTCTTAGGATTGTCATAATGTGGCATAATTCTTGTAATAAGAACTAAGGCCAAATAAAAATGTAGCTGCGTTTCCCGTTTCCCGACCGACCCTATTTTTTCATGCTGACCCCAATACATCTTATTGGTTTTTCACAGTCACTGTTATGCATTTATTAGCCGTTTAATTGTTCAAAGTGTAAATATAATTTGCTATGCATTTTACTAGCCTTGGCTCAAGTTTTATTTGAAGATACTTGGCTAAGTAGCCACAGATAATTGTGCTTATGATATAGGTTGGGATCTGTAGATTAGTGTGACCGTCTGCAGTCTGCTGGGGGAATTAAGTCCAGTTTGTGATGTCAGTGTTTGTGGCTCCAGCTGATGCTGACCATCAGAGTCAAATTTAGCAGGATTTATGGCCAGTTGAACCTAGTCGTACAGAGGTTGAATTTTAGCAGGATTTCGGCAGCATCAACAATTTTAATGTACATGTGGATCAAAATTTTTAATGTAGCAGGATTTTGCTAAGGGACAGATAGTAAGGTAGTTCAGCTGGAGAGTCGAAGCAGGAGAAGAGAGTTGGGTTGGGGAGTTGAGTTAAGGAGTTTTGAGGGAGGAGTTTGAGTTGGGGAGACCGAGTTGAAAGGTCTAGAGATAAAGAGGAGAGTTAGAAGGTTAGAATTAAAGTGAGAATTAGGAAGTTAGTAATAATAGTAGTTTTAGCTGTAGTTTGAAAATCTGTGTAGTTTTACAGTTTTTAGAATTCGGAGATAAGTTTGGAGTGGATAGATTGAGTTCATAATAGTGAAGGCTTGTGTATTTTATTACGGATTAAAAAACTTAATCTAGTGTAAATATAACTGTTCTTATTTTGTTGTTCAATTTCAAGGATTTTTTTATTTGTGTATTTATTTTACATGAATGAAATATTATAAAAACAATAACATATTTTTAACATTTAGGGAGGTAATCAGGAGATTCTTTTCACCAGAAAAATAATAAAATAAAAAAATAAAATAAAATGTTTTTCCTACCTACCTACCCTATTTTATTTGGAGCCAAAACAGGAAACACACATATTTTTATTTGGCCTAAACTATGTGTTACATATGAAGACTGAGACTTGATGGGTTTGATTCCCCGATCGGACGTGGAAAGGTATTGGGTCACCTACCTGACCATGTAGGGTTTCTCAGGTGCTCTGGTTTCCTCCCACATTAAAACCCCTAGCCCACATGCTTCCATCTGGGCCACCAAGAGTGATTAATATAAGATGAAAAAAAAATTGTTTCAAACTTTTTGTACAATAAATAAAATGTTATTTATATCACTAGCTGATACTTCATTTTGTGTTAGAGTCGACTACTGCAACAAATAAGCAAAATAACTGAGTTCAGAATTTGTCTTTTCCATCATTTTTAGTTCCCAACTGGGAAATGTGTTCCCTACTGGAGGAACCAGGCTTGCACCCTGTTCAACAGTCCGTCAGTGTGACACATATGGGCACATCACATTTATTCTTTCTCCTGCAATTGCGATTGTATGCCAGTATACCTCTTTGGGTGATGGAGTGTCACTTGCTGAAATTGGATCTCATGCCCTTAAAGTGTAATGACCCTTTGTTCATTCATGACACCAAAGATTTTGAGGGACTATGAATTGCCTGCAATATTTTGCCTTGGGCTTTTTCCTGTTCGTGAACCATAATTGTTACATGTCCACATTGTCTTTGCTAACCAGGTTTGGAGGTGTGAGTTCTGTGGTCAGGAGATGGTGGTGGACATCGTGGAGGAAGAGAAGCCGACTCAGGATGACGTGACATTTATGCTGTCCCCTGCCCTTTCTACCACAAGCAGTGGACCCAAAGGCACAGACAGTTCACTGGTCATCTTCTGTGTGGACGTCTCGGGCAGCATGTGTATCACTACAGAGGTAAGGGGAGCAGGACATTGGGGTCGTTTTGGGTTAGGGTAGGGGGGAAATGAAGGACATTTTGCTGATATTATTCACTGTAGTGATATAACTGTAGGACATTGTGTCAATGTACATAAAATATCTATGGAGGGACCACCTGCATTGGCGCTAGACAGTAGAAACCGTACATAACTATGCATGTGTGATAATAGAAACACTATCGCTAAATAAATTTCATTTCTAGTCAAAGAAAAGATGAAAATCTGTATACTGTGTGAGGCATATTGCATGCCAAAACAGTTTTTCTGTATACATTTTCTATAATGATGATTTCTAGGTACCAGGCAAATTGAAGTTAAGAGGAGGAGGTAGCGCCCGGCATGTCCATCGGCTGCAGGAGGACAGGCGTGACCAATTCTTGCCGAACCAGAAAAGAAATGTGACATTTGTCTCGAGATTACAAGCTGCTCAGGCCGCTGTTGACCAACAGCTTGAGGAGATGTCCAAAAACCACCCAAACAGACGAGTGGCACTCATAATCTTTAATAACGAGGTTGGTTTTCTGACTGTTGTAGTCATTGGGCTAGACCAACTAGCTGTTCTCTGTATTTTAATTAGAACAAAATATTTGTTTTGATCAGTGAAAAACAATACAGAACACTTTGTGAATTTTGTTTGAGGAAGGATTACTGTATTGTTTCTGGGGCCAAAGTTTCAGCCCAAGCTGCTATGGAAAATTATGCTATTATTACTCAAAATCTCTTAAATTTTACAAATCTCAAAAATATAAAATTTGGGATATTAATCTCAGCTTCTATCAGTATTTGGGTATAACTCCAAAAATCCCAATTCTGGAACACATTTTTCTTAATCCCAAGCTGCAGGCCCCATTCCTTAAGTAGTGAAAAAAGCCCTAGTATGTCCTGTAAATAATTAGTTTCTGACATTGCAGGTTGTAGTATTGGGCGATGGTAAGACTACGCCTGTAACCATTGCTGGAGACAAGCTGACAGAGAGGGAGGAACTGGTGAAGATCGGCTCGGACCTTCCCTGCCCTGGGGACATCAAATCCGCACGCTCAACACTCAGCACCAAAATATTTGAGTAAGAACAAGTTATGATAATTACCTAAACTCAGAATCACCCGTAATGATACATGATTAAAACCTTCAGCTGTAAAATGAAGTCCAATAATACAAGGGAGTTGTACATGTTGTATTATATCTGGAATAACAGTTCCTATTATTCCCATTTCAATTTGAGTACAATCATGTGAATTGTCAATCCACTCACGTGACAAACTAGAAATTGTGAATCAACCCATGTCACAAAGTAAAACTTGAAAATTCACCTATGTACAGACTAGAAATTGACCGACCTTGGCCCACTTGTATAAAACATCTCAACTCTTGAGATTTCCTCAAGTCTAAGATTTCCCATAGACAATACATTGCTAGAGATTTTCCTTAACTTTGTGATGTTTTATACAAGTGGGCCCTTTTCCTTTTAAAAGATAGAATAGATGAAATGTTTACAAAATTGTTTGTGCATTTAACTGATGTTACATGTATTATATTACCGTAGCTGTATCAGTGTGTCTATTTATTTTTTAACTCCCTTTGATAATTTTGTGTACAGATTGGAGGAAGGTGGGGCTACAGCTCTCGGTCCTGCCCTACTTGTTGCTACAACAATGGCCTCTCAACAACCAGGTTCCAAAGTGATCATTTGCACTGACGGGCTGGCCAATGTCGGTCTCGGCCGCCTGGATATATCCACTAGGGAGATGCAGGAGACATCTCTCGACTTCTATGAAAGTGTTGCTGAGACAGCTGCAGACAAGGGGTAGGTTCAGCCATCTGTTTTCAGTATGGTTTAGAATTTAACCCTTTACTGAAGAAACTAGAAATTATTTTTGTTTTTTTATGCCTCAGCCATAAAATGGGGCGGGGGGGGGCATATAATGTTGCCCATGTCCGTCGCAAATCGTCGCGTCGCGTCCCCGTCCCATCCATGAGCGGGGGCATTTATGTCTTACAGACGTTTCTAGTCTTGTTTTGTTTTTTGCCTTGTCACTTAAACATGAAGGAAACTGATTTGACGTTGTGTGTTACAGAGTGTCTGTGTCGGTTATAAGCATGGAGGGGACGGACTGTAAGTTGATACAACTCGGTAAAGTGGCAGACAAGACTGGAGGACAGGTAGGGTCTAAAAATAGGTTACACTGCATGTATTATCAGAGCAAAGTATGAACAAGTACCATCATACAGTATACGTACATTCTACTAGTCATCTTGTTTTTGCTTTTCACTTGTATTTTCATTTTTCTTTAGACACTGTTTTTCCTCGCAATATATTATATATATAATGTGATTAAATCATGTCACATACTTAATAATGACTTCTGCTTCACATCATGATGTTAGGACCATAACCAAAAAAAAAAAAAATCCTTGGAAAGTTTTTCTGTGTTAAAGAATTGGTAGGTCCTTTCCCTGGTGGCTTCCTGTCACAACTGGACACTATGCATGGTTGGAGACTGTTTGCATACATGATAATTGAATTTATTAAATCTAAAAAACAAAAGTTTCCAAAACAATAACTTCATATTATCTAGAGACTGGAAAGAGCCAGCATCACAATTTATGAAGCCACATCGTTTAAATCTCAAAATACATCCCATGATTGATCATGCATGTCATAACTTTAGGTTACAAGTGCTGATGTCACAATTTGATTGTTGATTTGTTTTTATCTTCATCTTGTTAAAAAAAATAAAGCATTAGCCCTTTCAATCCTATGTAACTTTGATAAACTCTACCATGCATTGATCTGGATCAGTCCATTATGGTCTACAGTGGTGAAAGGGTTAATTAATGTCTTATTTCAATCATGAAAGAGACAAACAACCAAATAAATATAAAATGAATCGGGGTTTTGTTCAGAATAGTCCTTTTTTTCCTTTAGCTAATGGTACTGTACGTAGGATTAAGATGTACGTTTGAAACTTACAGCAGATTTTTTTCACTGTTTCATTAAACAGATTAACATTGTGGACCCACTGAAGCTCACACAGGAGTTCTCGACGATACTGGAAGGCCGCATCATAGCAACGAATGTGGTGGCCACATTGATCTTGCACAAACAGCTGTATGTATGCATGTTTTTTAGTTTATGTAGTCAATGTTTGTGAAAAAACGCTGGTCTTCAAATTGTTAAATTTAAAATCAAGAAAATTTAAGTAAAACGAAATCAAGTTTATTAATTAATGTGGCATGCAAACAGGCTACTAAAACATGAAAGCACTTTGTACAGTCCAAAACTGGCTTATTAGTCCCCCACTAGTACTGGAGTAGAGGACTAGAGGTTTACACTCTGGTGTGGCAGTTTGTCAGTCAGTCAGTGCAACACTTTGTCCAACACATACAATTGCAAAAATTTATATAAGAATACCTCTTGGGATGGGGAAGTATCCCGTATTAAATGGGTTCTTGTTCGCCAATACCTACATACAGAATTACCCACTTTTGTTAATCACTGTCACTTGCCTGAAGCATATATCTTATATATACAAAAGTAGGTTATTAACTTATTACCATTACTGTTATAATCTCAAACCACTTGCTTTCATTCTGTATATGAACTCTTCAACTTTTAGAATTTTCATTCTATATTTAACTGTTTAGTCAGAGTTATCAACACCATGTATCCCTGCAGTAACCCTGGAATCTCAGAATACCCTATCTTACACCATTTGTGTATTTTCTTCACAAGTCTGTCATCATTAGACAATCAGTCAATCTAACTTTGGTAAAAAGTGGAACATTCTCTTAAAGTCTAACTAATATTTACCCTTTCACCCCTATGCAACTTTAGTAGACTTTCCCATGCATTGATCTGGATGAGTCCATTATGGTTTACAGTGTTGAAAGAGTTAAATATGTTTCAAAATATGTCTGAGTGATAAGTTACTGGCTATCCTTGAAGCACCTGTTAAAGGAACACAGGTTTCATATAGATTTACAGACCTCTTTAAGTCTAACTAATATTAAAGGTGTTTCAACATAGGTCTGAGTGATAAGTTACTGGCTATCCTTGAAACACCTGTTAAAGGAACACAGGTTTCATATAGATTTACAGACCTCTTTATATACTTATTTCCATATTCCACATCCATGAAATAGTATTAGTTAAAGAAATGGGCTATATAGTTTGCAAAAGACTTTATGTGACGTTTCATCATCGTTGGAATATTCTATATTTTGTTTTCTATCCTTATTAAGGTTCTTCCACTATGAAGACACAAAAGAAAGCAAAGTGGTGAAAAACGTTGGCAATGTGACATCTGATACAGAGGTCACTTTTGAGTACGGTGTCAGAACCAAGCAGAAAAAAGAGACGGGTACGTATACCATAAGGATCATTATACAGTACATATGCAAGACGACACACTTGTGTTTTTCTAACGAATCAGAAAGCACAAGTTTATTGAGCGGACGAATATATTCCCGAGACGAGTGAATATATACGTCCGCGCAATAAATGAGTGCTTTCTGATTCGTTAGAAAACACAAGTGTGTCGTCTTGCTTTTATCGCATACTTTCCGTATTTGGTACAGATCGATACAAAGATTTTATAAACTTTGATATTTTTTGCAAACTTTTCAGTTCACCATGACAAGGGGATTCCCATAAAAAGTAGTTCCGGCTAGTAGGTAAATACAACATTCCATATTGCACATGTGCAATACAGAACATTGTATTTCATAATCTGAAAATTGCTTGTATTACTATAACAAGATTCAACAGGCATGTGATAAATCCCTGTATCCAATGAAAATTAAAAACAAAAATATACATCAGCCTGGTCTCTTGCCACACACCTGATGTCCTTTTATTCACAAAGTTTTTGATGTGTATACAATTGTACAAAATATATATGAAATTAAGTTAACAGAAATAGAGGATTTCAGACAGGTTTCCGTTACATATGGCTTCATATAAATAGATTGTAATAAGATAAAAATGGTTTTTCATGCATTTTCAATTTGTGCTATATACATTATACCTTCTGTTCAGGTCAATCCGGATCAACTTCAAATCAAGTTCCACAAGAGGGTGCTTTTGGAGGTCCAAGTTCAGAAGGTGCAGGTCAGAGTTCAGGTCAAAGCTCAGAGGGTGCAGGTCAAAGTTCAGATAGTGGAACTGCTGACGAGCCCAAAGAGTTGCCGTTCCAGTTGCAGGTGAAGTACACAGATGTGGATGGGGCTACTGCACTCCGCGTCCTCACCAAGACCAAACCTGTCACCAAGGACCGGAGTCAGGCAGAGAGAAGTAAGGACTGTATGCCCTATAAATGTTGTTGGTCTGTGATAAAATAATTTATATAAGTAAGCATCCCCGATTTGGATAAAGCATTATTATTGAATATAAAGGTCTAAGAAATTTGTTTTCCTTCATTTCACTTCTCAAAAAATCGCTTGCTCAAATTGAGTTATACGAGAGAATGGACCTAAGGGAGATAAAAAGAGAATTCCAAAGTTTTAAAGTCTAAAGTAGAAATAATCAAAAATATGTGTTACAATATGAACAGTTTAACCCTTTCACCCCTAGGTAACTTTAGTGGACTCTACCATGCATTTATTGGGATGAGTCCATTATGGTCTACAGTGGTGAAAGGGTTAAAGGGTTGTTGATTGTTCAACTTAGCTGTTTGTTCAGCTTGGCTGTATCGTGTTAGGTTACTCATACTTTTGGATTGTTTTGTGTTGGGATCCTGGGCTATAAAAGACACCATACCCAGAGGTCAAAGTTCAAACTTGGATCTTTTGATGTCCTACAATTCCAACATATAAATGGGGCCTTCAGTTACATCAGTATAACTTTGATGAACTTGAAATGGCCTGTAAAATATCTTGGAAATTAATATGTATTGGTATGGTATTGACAATCTAGACGAATGACACAGCTTTGCAGGCAAGCATACATTATGATGTTTGCCTGAAAGCTGTGTAATTCATAGGGGTGTCACAACACGCCAAGAGTGTATCACGATATATTGCAATACAGAATGAATATCTTGCGATACGTATCCCGATATATTGTCATAGGAAAGATGTGCTCGATTTTATGATAAGTTTGTTGTCAGGATGTTATCAAACTTAATCATATGTAATATGGATCACATAGATTTAAGATTTTTGTCAAACCAACCATCGATTACAAAATTTGAACTAATTCCTGCCACTACTAAAAGCCTGTTTTATGCGTATTGGCATATGTATTAGAATTTGTTGTAATTTGCAAAGTTAAATGACCAAGCAGAATGAGATACATAAAAATAAGCTTTTAAAAAAATATTACGATACAGCAATATTTCATCTCTGTGTTGTGGTACAATACGATATACCCGTGTATTGCGATATACCTGTTTTCTGATATATTGTGACAGCCCTAGCTATAGTAATTCATAAGACTATAAATGCCATATCAATACAGTTCAATGCTTATATTCACAATTTTTGGAGTATTTAAGATCACAGAAATTGGAATAAGGTTTTTTTTAAGTTATTTGTTCTTAGGGTTAATATTTATTGAGAACACCATACGGTGGTAAATATTTATACTACATCAGATATCAAAACTGGAGCTTTGACTTGGTCTGAGAAATAATTAAGTACATTTACACATGCATTGACATACTGTATACCGGGGAACCTTCGCTGCAGTTTAACTTTCGTCCCTTTCGCCTTCCGATCTGAGGGCGAATTTAACATGATGGCGAAAGTTTAAAAAGAATTTCACGTATACGACGGCACATGTTTTGTCACTATTTCCTCTACAATGAGGCCTAACTCAGGTACCGTATGTGATGCAATTGGGGTCCAGTGGTGTTCCACTGTTGGCAATGTAGGACGAATTTAACACTTGACGAATAAGGACTCTGCCGGTACGGGGCGAAAGTTTAAAGTTTAACGGTATACAGTATTATGTGAAACATGTTTATTTAAATTTTTGACATTTTTCTAAATTCACAATTACAATGAAGAGTGGGTATCTGGCTGATGAAGAGCAGCATTATAAAACACTTCTTAATCCTTCTTTTCTTGTAGAGATGAACATCGATGTGCTGGGTAAGCACTCAGCTCAAGTGTCTGCCAATCTAGCACTAGACGGCATGTACACACAGGCTAGGAGTAGGGCCCTGATGAACCAACGACTTGCCTGGAGACACAAAAAGTTCGTAAAACACAACTTTTCTTTTATGAGAAGTTCTTTTTACACAACCAATAACATTTCTATGTGACGTTTCGATGACGAGTACGACATGTACACTGTCACCTTCGTCAGACAAATGACCAGTGAAGTGTATGTACACAAAGGTGTAAAATGTGTACGAGTTGTCCATAAAATCGATGTCGATTTCGGCTACGCTGGAAACGGATGTACAATAGTTGACATATCGATTTTATGGACAACTCGTACACATACTTACCAACCTGAAGAGAATGTTTAGAAACAACTTTTGTTTTTTTATTTTTTCATTCCTACATAGCTTAGACACCAAGCCATCATCTCTACATAGACTAGCGCAGTATATAGGTTCTTTTTTATGATATTTGTATCTTTTGAAAACCATGATGTTTACTATAGAAAGTATACATTAAAAAGCACATGATTGGCTACCTCTCACAAATGTATTTTAGTTATGTTGTTGTCATCAAGAAATTTTCAGTTCAGCTTATTAATAATGTGACCAAGTCACAGAAACCTGTTTTATTCAGACTTTCAATTAGGAATGGATAAATTCAGTGAACCAGAGCAGTTTTAGTGCTGCATGTGAAACTGTTTTTATGGTCAATTATAAAGATAGAGTATAATTAATCATCATTAAAATGCCATGAATAAGATAGAGTATAAATTAGATCATCATTAGAATGCCATGAAAAAGATAGAGTATAAATTAGATCATCATTAGAATGCCATGAAAAAGATAGAGTATAAATAAGATCATCATTAAAATGCCATGAAATGTAAGCAATGGTTATTTTTAATTTTTCTTCCCGCATGTATTATATCTAAAACATGTACCCCATTTTGAAATTTCTCTATGTTGTTTACAGGGGCGACTCCCATGAGAGTAGGTCTCAGCAGAGGAAGGCCAACAAAACGTACGGAGCGGTGTTTGGAAAGGTCAGATCTGTGGAGAATTACCTCAACCAGGCACAGAAGGTAAGCCTTACACATAGGATTTGTGCTTTGAAACAGGAGAATAATTTATCTATACAGTCAAACCTCGTTATCTCGAATTCGATGGGGTCGTGGAAAAACTTATCCGAGTATTCAAGTTATGCGGGTTCATAAATTTGGTATGAAATAACAAACTAGCAGTTCTTGATTTTATTAATAGCCAATGCTTATAATCAACCGATGAATGATATACGTAATCAATATAACAAATACAGGCAGTAATTTTACAATAAACACGCTTACAAAAATAGAGTAAGTTATTTCCGAAAAACATACTTTCGTTTAATAGCGCGACCAAATGGTTGGACCGTATTATGAATTTGTTATCAAATATGGATGGGCCAAGTGATTAAATGTTGTTTTTGGCTAGTCTAGATCTTGGCAAAGTCTTTCCAGTTCTGCATTTGTATTTGCAAGTCAGTCAAGTTTAAATTCTGAAGTGTTACATTTAAAAATCGACTATCCCGTTGTGTCTGTCTTCGTACAATGCAGTAATGAAAGTGCGCAAGACTAAAACAAAGCACTGTAAAGGAGCGTACGCAAAGTTGATTCTGTAAATGAAAACTCACACAAACAGATTATGTCATACATGTAACACATTGATTCATTAAAGCCAAATGTGACACCTGACACCTCAACTCGATATAATCAACAACAATTATCGTATTGTTCTTTAAAACCTTTCGATCGACTTTCAAAGCCATACGGGCTCCTTTAAAAACATGAACCTGTGAAGCTGTCGTAGGTTGTGATTTTCACTGTGGAACTCTTTTATGCATGACCTTGTGCACGCTTTGTGATCAATTTACCGATTTGCATTGTCGTCTGTTTGGTTGCACAAATCATTAAATGGACTCGCAGTAAGTACAGAATACTGTTGATCAACATTGATAAAGTTTGTTTTTATTTTGAACAACATGCTTTTGACAGTCTGCACACTTTACAGTCTGAAGCTTTATCGTAAATTCTTTTTACCGATTTCATGCTAGTCTACTCACGAAAGATGTTCATAAACACAGAATGGCATGATGTCGTACTTTTGCATTTTATTTGTATCAAAGAATTAATTAGTGACAAAATGAAATTTTAACACTATGAAGAAGACACTGTTTTGATGTTGGATTTACGCTATTGAAACCAATATCTTACTTCAAGTATCCAAGTTTTTCGACTTTTCAGTGAATAAAATTCTGATAATTTGAACCCTAAGATAAAGAAGAGATTTTGCCGGGACCGGAGAAATACTTCGAGATAAACGGGGTCTTGGAGTTATAAGAGTTCGAGATAAAGAGGTTCAACTGTATGTATCAAATCAGACAACATTTGATGTTGCTCCAGCTATCAAGAATTAACCACTCGTAAGGCACATCACAGCACAAAGTTATATATATATACTATTCATACAATTAATACATTCAATGCAATTTTGAAGGTTTGTAGGTATTGTAAGGTATTGGCTGTTGAGAAGTTCTTTTTATACACTTTTTTGAGAACTTCTCATAATCCATATACTTACCAACCTGAAGAAAATGTTAAGGAAAAAAAGGTATTGGCTGGTTGCAAAGGCCCTATAACCACGGACAATAATTTGTGAACCGCTTTGAGACGACCTATGAACTAGGTGGTGATAAAGCGGTATATAAGAACCTCAAATTATTATCATTATTATATGAGGACTGAAGGTTTTAGGTTGACAGAATTTCCTATGTTTTTGTTCACTAGAGGGAGTCCGCTTCCACAGGGAAGACCTACAGTGATGACGAAGATGAAGGAGAGAGGTCACTGGGTGATAATGCCATTGTAGACACAAACAAATTTGCTGTCAAAGCTCCAACTCCGATGGCCTCTGGGAGTTCTGTGTTGGCACCTGCAGCAGGATTATTTTCTTTTCTTGGAGACAAGAAAAATAAAAAGGTTGCTATTTACTGATAAACTAGGTGTATTATTCTGTCACAAATATGAAAGTGTATAGGTACACTATTAATAAGTGCAGGTTATTATACAAGTTTTGATCAGTAAAATAATTGTTTGGTGATTGCCTGATTCAAGGTGAAACATTATAATTATATTTACATTTGCATGGCATTGTCACTATATAGCCTCTTTGAAAGCTGTGTCGTTGATGGGACTTTAATTACCATGCCGCACGAGACATAA